GGTAGCCTAGTGGTTAAAGCGTTCGTTCGTCACGCCGAAGACCCGGGTTCGATTCCCGACATGGGTACAATGTGTGAAGCCCATTTCTGGTGTCCCCCGCCGTGATATTGCTGACAAATTGCTAAAAGCGGCGTAAAACCATAGATACTCACTTACTCTTTCATTCGAATGAAATATCGATTATTTATTTCGTGATATCTATAGCAATCCATCACGAAATATGTAATAGGCCAAAATAACTTACTTTCGATATCGCGTGCATTTTATGTCCGTTTTATTCCGTGTGTTTGCCTGGTTAAACATTCTTAAAATGTGTGTGACGTTCCCCCGTGTTCTGGTCTTGCGGTTGTAGCCCAATACCTGTCTTCGAGTGTATCGAGTGATACAAGTCATAGTCTCCACCCCATACGTGTCTTCGTGTGTATCGAGTGATACAAGTCATAGTCTCCGCCCCATACCTGTCTTCGAGTGTATCGAGTGATTCACGTCTTAGTCTCCGCCCCATACCTGTCTTCGAGTGTATCGAGTGATTCACGTCTTAGTCTCCGCCCCATACCTGTCTTCGAGTGTATCGAGTGATTCACGTCTTAGTCTCCGCCCCATACCTGTCTTCGAGTGTATTGAGTGATACAAGTCATAGTCTCCGCCCCATACCTGTCTTCGAGTGTATCGAGTGATTCACGTCTTAGTCTCCGCCCCATACCTGTCTTCGAGTGTATCGAGTGATACAAGTCATAGTCTCCGCCCCATACCTGTCTTCGAGTGTATCAAGTGATACAAGTCATAGTCTCCACCCCATACCTGTCTTCGTGTGTATCGAGTGATACAAGTCATAGTCTCCACCCCATACCTATCTTCGAGTGCATCGAGTGATACAAGTCATAGTCTCCACCCCATACCTATCTTCGTGTGTATCAAGTGATACAAGTCATAGTCTCCACCCCATACCTGTCTTCGCGTGTATCGAGTGATACAAGTCATAGTCTCCACCCCATACCTATCTTCGAGTGTATCGGGTGATACAAGTCATAGTCTCCACCCCATACCTATCTTCGTGTGTATCAAGTGATACAAGTCATAGTCTCCACCCCATACCTGTCTTCGTGTGTATCGAGTGATACAAGTCATAGTCTCCACCCCATACCTGTCTTCGAGTGTATCGAGTGATACAAGTCATAGTCTCCACCCCATACCTGTCTTCGTGTGTATCGAGTGATACAAGTCATAGTCTCCACCCCATACCTGTCTTCGAGTGTATCGGGTGATACAAGTCATAGTCTCCACCCCATACCTGTCTTCGCGTATATCAAGTGAAACAAGTCATAGTCTCCACCCCATACCTATCTTCGAGTGTATCGGGTGATACAAGTCATAGTCTCCGCCCCATACCTGTCTTCGAGTGTATCAAGTGATACAAGTCATAGTCTCCGCCCCATACCTGTCTTCGAGTGTATCGAGTGATACAAGTCAAAGTCTCCGCCCCATACCTGTCTTCGAGTGTATCAAGTGATACAAGTCATAGTCTCCACCCCATACCTGTCTTCGAGTGTATCAAGTGATACAAGTCATAGTCTCCACCCCATACCAGTCTTCGTGTGTATCGAGTGATACAAGTCATAGTCTCCGCCCCATACCTGTCTTCGTGTGTATCGAGTGATACAAGTCATAGTCTCCACCCCATACCTGTCTTCGTGTGTATCGAGTGATACAAGTCATAGTCTCCGCCCCATACCTGTCTTCGAGTGTATCGGGTGATACAAGTCATAGTCCCCACCCCATACCTGTCTTCGTGTGTATCGAGTGATACAAGTCATAGTCTCCGCCCCATACCTGTCTTCGAGTGTATCGGGTGATACAAGTCATAGTCTCCGCCCCATACCTGTCTTCGTGTGTATCAAGTGATACAAGTCATAGTCTCCACCCCATACCTGTCTTCGAGTGTATCGAGTGATACAAGTCATAGTCTCCGCCCCATACCTGTCTTCGCGTATATCGAGTGATACAAGTCATAGTCTCCACCCCATACCTGTCTTCGAGTGTATCAAGTGATACAAGTCATAGTCTCCACCCCATACCTGTCTTCGTGTGTATCGAGTGATACAAGTCATAGTCTCCGCCCCATACCTGTCTTCGTGTGTATCCAGTGATACAAGTCATAGTCTCCACCCCATACCTGTCTTCGAGTGTATCGAGTGATACAAGTCATAGTCTCCGCCCCATACCTGTCTTTGTGTGTATCGAGTGATACAAGTCATAGTCTCCGCCCCATACCTGTCTTCGAGTGTATCAAGTGATACAAGTCATAGTCTCCACCCCATACCTGTCTTCGAGTGTATCGAGTGATACAAGTCATAGTCTCCGCCCCATACCTGTCTTCGAGTGTATCGAGTGATACAAGTCATAGTCTCCGCCCCATACCTGTCTTCGTGTGTATCGAGTGATACAAGTTATAGTCTCCACCCCATACCTGTCTTCGTGTGTATCGAGTGATTCACGTCATAGTCTCCGCCCCATACCTGTCTTCGAGTGTATCGAGTGATACAAGTCATAGTCTCCGCCCCATACCTGTCTTCGTGTGTATCAAGTGATACAAGTCATAGTATCCGCCCCATACCTGTCTTCGAGTGTATCAAGTGATACAAGTCATAGTCTCCGCCCCATACCTGTCTTCGTGTGTATCAAGTGATACAAGTCATAGTCTCCACCCCATACCTGTCTTCGAGTGTATCGAGTGATACAAGTCATAGTCCCCACCTCATACCTGTCTTCGAGTGTATCGAGTGATACAAGTCATAGTCTCCACCCCATACCTGTCTTCGTGTGTATCGAGTGATACAAGTCATAGTCTCCGCCCCATACCTGTCTTCGAGTGTATCGAGTGATACAAGTCATAGTCTCCGCCCCATACCTGTCTTCGTGTGTATCGAGTGATACAAGTCATAGTCTCCGCCCCATACCTGTCTTCGAGTGTATCGGGTGATACAAGTCATAGTCCCCACCCCATACCTGTCTTCGTGTGTATCGAGTGATACAAGTCATAGTCTCCACCCCATACCTGTCTTCGAGTGTATCGAGTGATACAAGTCATAGTCTCCGCCCCATACCTGTCTTCGTGTGTATCGAGTGATACAAGTCATATAGTCTCCACCCCATACTTCCTATGGGTGAGATAACCTGGCCTAGTGGATACAGCGTCTGTCTGGAGAGCGGATGTCGGTGGTTCGATCCCCCGTCGCGTCATTCGAAAAGATGGTAAAATATGGTGTGTGTTGTTACCTTGCATTAAGGGGCTAAAACAAGAACTGGTTGGCTCGGAGTCAGTATACTGTGTCTGAGTGGGGTATTCATGTTAAACTGCGGCATGGTATCTCAGTGGACTGGCACGACAAACCCGTGTTTAGTCTAGATAGTACAAACAAACAAACAAACAAACACACTAACACACACACACACACACATGCACACACACAATAACAAATACACACGAATGCATGCACACACACATTAACACACACACACGCACACACACATGCATGCACATCTCTATATAAGTGCAATAATATTGAACGCGACATTAACACCCATTACGCCTATGAATGTAATTGATAACGGTACATGTAGACCTTCAGGATGGCATCCTCTCCAGGAAGACCCCCGCCCCAGCGGACAGGGTCAACACCCCCACACGTCAACTCCACATGTGAACGACGTCCAATCCAGCATCCCCCGTCATCGTCTCACGGTACATCTAACTAACGATCATTTAAAAGTGGCGACGAGACCATGCCGGCATATTAACACATCCCACCCCACCACGGTCCCCGTCAACGGCTGCATGATGGACGGGGGAGGGTGGTATTTGAGGAAGGTGTGCCGAGTAATCAATTCTTGAAGATGGTTGTATTGGGACTGTTATTATACCTGTTAACATAACACTCTCGTTTCTCGTGACACGCCCGCCCTAAAATAGCAGAGTCCCGACTAAGTTTTTTTTTTTTTAAATTTTAGACGCTGTTGGGAGCCCACTTTAATCGGACTTGTTGCACACGTCCCATAACTCACACCTAATAGAACCCGTGAAGATCCGGGTTAGAATTAGAATCTCATCAATCCATGCTTTGTCGTAAGAGGCGGCTAACGGGATCGGGGGGTCAAGCACGCTGAATTGGTTGATGCATGTCATCGAATTCCAACTGCGTGGGTCGATGCTCATGATGTCAATCACTGGATTGTCTTGTCCAGACTCGATTATTTACAGACCTCCGTCAAATAGCTGGAATATTGCTGAGTGTGTCGTTAAACAACAAACATAACTCATAGTGTCAGTTTCTCATGGGAGCCTAGTCGCGGTTTCCATGACGTCTCGAATGGTTTTTCATCCTATTAAAATGTATGGGAGCGGTCGGGTAGCCAAGTGGTTAAAGCGTTCGCTCGTCACGCTTAAGGCCCAAGTACGATCCACAACATGGATACAATGTTTGAAACCCATTTCTGGTGTCCCCCCGCCGTGATATTGCTGAAAATATTGCTAAAAGCGGCGTAAAACCACTCACTCACTCACTCAGTAACTCGAATTGCAAGGACAGAGCCAAAATTTAAAGAGGTTACAAGATACATACTTTAGAAATATATTAAAAAATCGCCCCTTTCTACCGTCAAGTTGTGTTGTTGTAACCTGGCTTATCTGCAATATTCCAAATATTCACATACCTTCGTCGTTTAACAGAAGATGATGGTTTGAATTTTCATAACGGGAGTTGTTCCTTCATCACTGACTATCAAGGAATGTCTCTCATGAGTTTTAAGTTCAAACGATTTTAAATACATCAAGATGATTTCAAGTATCACGTATTATATGACACTCCCTAGAATATCGAGATGACGTCGTTCCCAAGGCATGCAAACATGACACCAACCTGATGCCCCTCTCACGGGGAATGGATTGCTCCATATCATATCTGGGATGTACCAATTGCTTGGGGAAAGGGGTGATATGTAATTCGCATGACTATATATAGAAGGTGCCGGGAAACGGTGTCATTTTCATCAACAGTTGGATTAAGACGAGTTGCTGCTATGAAACGTGCTATTCTTCTGTGTTGGGGTAGGTCATATACTTATGAATTATCAACCTGATTTTTTACCTAAAATATTAAATACTTTGTTTCAACAAAGAATGCAAAGCATACGATAAGTGTTCAGCTTCCTTAGAAAACGACAAAAATTGAAGGGCAAAAGGTCGAATTAAGACAATCTTCGACTCGTGAATTATATAGCCATAACGAAATTAATAATCGTCGATCATATTTACCGGGATATTGTGGACTACGGGATATTATAAACCATTCACTCACTCACTATAGCTGTTGTCATGGCAACGTTTCAGTGCTCTAGAACAACTGAATTTGATTACACGTCATAGATGTATCTCAGCGTTATCATTTGGCATATGTGAGAAACTTAAAGACAGGGGATTAAACCAAATATGTTCATGAGTCAGAAATATCAGAAATAATTTCAATGAACTATCAGCACACGACAGAAATCCTTTTCAAATTGTTTATTTTTTTCTGGTTGAAATTTTTACTTTAAAATAGTCGGTGTGAGTATACCACTCAACTATAATTAAACAAAAGTATCAGTCTTGACAGGGAATTGTCTCTCTATATAAACCCCCGCACACACATACTGAGTCGTTAGTTAAAAAATTTTTCACCAGGTTGGCAGTGCATTTTGGTATGGAGCGTATCTAGGAGTTACTGCCAGCTGCCTCATTTGCATATTTATCGGATCTTGAAAATATAGAATACTTAACGAGCTCCCGTGTAATACCAGTTTTAAGAAACGAGTGAATAGTTCTGGTATCTGACGAGCGAAAGTGAATCAGATACCACAACTATTCACGAGTTTCATAAAATTGGTTTTAAACGGGAGCGAGTTTAGTATTTTATTTATTACTTGCCATTTATAACGTTTTTAGAAGTATACTGTTGAGTATGAATAGGCTGACACCTACACGATCCACGGCATAGTCCAATTGAGTTTAACAGAATAATACTTCAAACACGTCAAAGTTTTAAACGTATGAATTTAATACCATACAACGGTCAACCTTTAGAATTCACAAAATTATCGTAGGGCTAAGACTATCGCAACTCACATACTTTAACAGACGTTGCGTTCGCCTTGTGGAACGGGGCTTGCACCTGAAAGTTTACAATAACGTCACAATACCCGATGACGTAATTTGTGGAATTTTGTTGCAAGATCCATCGGCGAAACAATGCCATGTGACGTCAGCCTACCAACAAGGTTGCTGGGGTCATCGAGTGTGCATAAGCTCCTCTCAGTGATCTATCATCTCCACACGTAATGTCGTTGAATAAGCCAAAGGATGTTGAGAGCTTTCAATATTTGTTCGTGAAACGTGTTCCGAGAGTACATAAGCACGCGTTTTGGTATTACACAATATGTAATACAGCTGTATTTTTATTAAACGGGTGATCTCTTCACGGGCAAGTAATAATCATGCTTATCACACTGGTTTGTCGCATCGATGACATATGTAAGATATGAAAATTTCTAATTCAAATTCAAATTCTACCAAGTGAAGGTTGTTGTTTAAACCCGTTGTCGAGAAATGTCCCGTTATTTCCGTTACAAACAATAGTAGTGCGGAAGGGAAAGGCACTGATTACCTATTATTACTGCACGTACCCCAGTACGCATTACGTCGTCATCTGCTAGTTCAGTACGCCTTACGACATCTACAACTCCAGTTTTGATAACGACGTAATCTATTACTCCAGGTCGCATAACGTCATCTACTAATCCAGTACGCATTACTACGTCATCAACTAGTCCAGTACGCATTACGACGTCATCTACTAGTCCAGTACGCATTACGAAGACATCCGCTACTCCAGAAGGCATTATGACGTCATCAGCTACTCCAGTAGGCATAATGACGTCATGTATTACTCCAGTACGCATTACGACGTCATCTACCAGTCCAGCATGCATTACGACTTCATCTACTAGTTCAGTTGACATTATGACGTCATCTACTAGTTCAGAACGCATTACGACATCATATACTTGTCTAATATGCATGACGACGTCATCTACCAGTCCAGCATGCATTACGACGTCATCTACTAGTCTAGTACGCATTACGGCCTCATCTACTACTCCAGAATGCATGACGACGTCATCTACTACTCCAGTACGCTTACCACGGCATCTACTACTCTAGTACGCATTACGACGTCATCCTCTACTCCAGGGCCGACTTGCACAAAACGATCTTAGCGCTAAGATGATCGTAACTCCCATACTTTACATAGCGCTATGATCGCTTTGTGCAAGTGGGCCCAGTAGGCATTATGACGTCATCAGTTACCCCAGAAGGCATAATGACGTCATATACTACTCCAGTACGCATTACGATGTAATCTGGGGCGCGTTGCAAAGCGCCAATCGCTTGTAAGCGATGTACAGCGATTCGCCTTACAACAGTGCGCTAACTTTCAGCCGCTTGCAAGCGAAACAATCGCTGACTGAGGTCGCTTCGTTCTCAAACCAAATTGGCGGCTTACTTTGACAGCGGAACAAGGAATTCTTGACTGGATCAACTAGAAAATGAGCAAAGGTAGCTAACACCCCATCATCCTCAGTCTGCTCCACATCTTCAAAGTAGTCATAAATTTCATCAGCTCGTCATCGAGCCTCTTCTATTACGTTCTTCATTACGCAGATGGTCAGGCTCGCTGACATGGTTGATGCATGTCATCGTATCCCAATTACGTGGATAGATGCTCATGATGTCAACCACTGGATTGTCTGGTCCATACTCGATTATTTACAAACCGCCGTCATATAGCTAGAAGATTGCTGAGTGCGGCGTTAAACAACAAACACACAAACGTCAAGGCAACCAAGCGGTATAGTTGTACCGCCTTTTTGGAAGAGTGCGCAAGCGCTTCGAACTGTTGCAGACCCCGGGTTGAGCGATGAATTTGCTTTCTCTAAGCGATTCGTGGCTTGCAACGCGCCCCTGCTTGTCAAGCATGCATTACGACGTCACGTAAAAGTTCAGTGGGCATTATGACGTCATCTACCAGCTCAGTACGTTTTACGACGTCATCTACTACTCCAGTATGCATTACGACGTCATCTACTACTGGAGGGCCATGGGGGGCCAGAATCTGGATGTTGTGATTCCGGAAAAAGGATGGGGTCAGTCTTTTCGTGTAAGGTCGGGCATTGTCTTGTTGGAAAGCTTAGACTGCTGTCACACCGAGTGATAGATGAAGCCTACATATATCAAGGAAATTATCAGCTTCTAAAACACCTTTGCTACTACATGTCATACACCATTTCAAAGGTCTAATCCTACTGTTTAATAATTGAAAGTAAAGTTTATCACATTATTAAAATAATGCATTTATAACTTGATTAAGTTCGTTTGTATTAAAAAAAATCTTAACGTCTGGATTAACCACCAAGAAAGCTAAATTATGGCGATTTTCGGTAATTTTAGTATTTCATTATAGAGCTATACACTAACTTTTTTCTGTTTTATTTTCATTGTTGAAGTAATGGGAAAAGATGATAAAAAGAAGTACAAGTACATGCTATCATAACATAGTTCCCGGTGACGTAAGTACATACTGGGAAACACCGCCGTTTCTGAAGCTTGGTATAAATAACATGTGCGAAAAGACGTTCGATGTTCATCATCGCCAGAAAGCTCTGAACATCAATAACATTCAGTGACCTCGTCAGGAGTACTTGCTTAGTTGTAACATGCGACTTTATTGGACGGAAATGGGGTTCTAATGACCCTTTTTGCCGTAATCTTAAAATATAAGGATCGTGATTGGTAAAAATCAAGCACATGACCTACGGCAGCTAATCAAATTACAGCAATAAATACCGTCCTCGTGTGTGATATATTTCAGGTTAAGACGTCAGTCTTTGGTTAAATCATGTTAGTTTGAACGTTTAAAGCAGAAAATCGCGACCTATGTTTAAAATATGGAACTACGTGGACATATCGTGCTAGGTTACAACCTGTGACGAAGATTTCTAATACATATAATCGCTTTCGAGGCCTAAAAATCGAGGCGAAAATGCCGAGATGTCATTTGACTTACATTTACACGATCGCACCTAAACATGGAAATAGTAACTTAGATGTAAGTTTGACAATATTTGGAAATATATTTGTTGATTTTGTTTATTACTTGATGTTATTTATTTACGATTTGCATGAAACGTCTATACACTGTTCTTTGACATGTTACATATGGACCTGTTGTCGAAGCATGTGTCTCCGATTTTCTTTTAATAACATTGCGGGAAATCGTTGATATGTTTAAATCTATTAATAGTGAGTGAGTGAGTTAATGCTTTACGTCACATCGGCAATATTTCAGCCATATCGTGACGAGAAATTATACATATTTAATACATATATTTTTGCTAAATTAACACCTGTCATCGATGGACAGTAGAATTACTAGAATATCACAGATTAATATGTAAAACTAGCATACAACTATAAAAAGATAGCACTATAAATAACGGTACAATATAAAAAAGGGCTATAGATCGCCAGCAGCTGAAGGTAGATCACCATGCTAGGGTCCATTGGGACTTACAGTACTTCAGCTTCCTGCATGGACCCCAGCCGGATTTACATCATCCCTTCAGGTGTTGGCGATTATTAACATACTTAGCAATATTAAAATAACATATATTCTACGATTAAAGACTGTGGTAAGAACAAATCTACTTTGAAAGACGTGGTCTTACATACCCTCTCCAGGGGACAATCATTTTACACTACTTTAACCCCCTTCGAGGATACAGCCACTAACAATCTCAGTTATCAAATTTATCCTGCCAATCATAAAAAGGTATATTATATACACAACATATTAATCAAAATTTATGGTACAATTCAATGTTTTTTAAAAACCAATAACTAAATGAGAACTGATATTAAAAAGATCATTAATAGATGAAACATTGAAATAAGTATCCCTTGTGATGGCAAAATCAATACAGTCAAGCAGGACATGCTTGACTGTGATTCTT